GAACAGAAACCTAAGGATAGCCCTTTTTGTTATTACTTTAATAAACAGCTTTTGACTATAAACTGTATTGATACTCCTCCTCTAGGGTAATTCCTACAGGCAGGGTTTATCTCCTCTTAGTGAAATAAAGTAAAGTTATTAGTATTGTATTATCTTTCTCGAACTGCCTCAGAGAAGGGTATAGTTTCTTGACAACATCTAACAGAAGCTATACTTCCTTCTTGGACATCGCATATACCCGTAAGGGATTCCCTGTGCCATGTTATTATTATAGTGTGAAAATTAAGAAGGCTTTCACCTATAACAATAGGAATAACTTATTCTTTAACTTGTTTAACAATATTAACATTTATTCACTAGCCATCATGATTTGAACCTAAATGCATTATTACACAAACTTCTGTATATTTAAATGTATATTATTAGAAAATGATGCATTTAGAGCTTGCTGTTCTTCTGAGAGTCAAAGATAACCAATAGACTTACAGTCAAAGTCACTAACATGAACACTAAGAACTTGTGATTTGTGACAAAGTTTATCTTCTTCTATTGGACCCCAGGCCTTGGTAAAACTGTCATTAGCATAGAATACTAATTCATCATAGGTGATCAGAACTATTTTTGAAATATCTGATAAAAGTATTGGTAAAATGACTTGCTTAAGATTTTTAGCATCATAAATAGCTATTTGGAAATATAATATAGCCATTTGTTGAAGAAAATAATTTCTCTCAATTACTACATCTTTATATTCATAACTATTAAAATAAATAGTCTTTGAATGATCTTTATATCTCTATTTAAGTGAGTTTAACCATTTGCATACAGTTGTTTTTTTGATAGTTGTCTTTGCTTTAATTCCAAAACTTAAAATAATATTATTTTCAATATGCTTTATAAATTTTTGAATTGTAAATTTAAACTTATTTATCTTTAAATATTAAACTATTTATAACTTGAATTCTTTATTATTCAAGAGAGAAATACATTTTATATGATGGTTACATTTTGATTCTATTAGTTTATTGTTATTTAACTATTAGTTTTCTCAAGACTGAATAAGTCATGCATGCTATAAACCTTTGCCAATGCTTTAAGCTAAAAGCTTACTTGCTGCAATTTTTTTAAATTTCTGATTATAAATTAGATGAAGAAATTGTCAGACCATATTAAGGCATAAGTTAACAGTTTTAGTATTTAGTAATACATCTAATAATAACAACTTGAACTTATTATTAGTTAAGACATTCTAATTTATATGATCATTTCTTTTAGATAAAACAACAAGACTGTAATTTTTTTCAGAAAAGGCATTCCATTTGGTAAATTTATTATTTTTGCCAAAATTATTTGATATTTTTAATTTATTATCATTAAGATATACATTATGCTTTGATGAAGATTGTACCGATTTATTTTTCCAATACATTGCAATAGCTTTTCGAGATTGTCTTGTATGTTTATTTAATCTCACTATTGATATATAATTTTATTATTTTAAGAATAAATTTATTTTATTTAAAAACTATGTTCATAAGAACTTATATATATATTAAATTTGTATGCCAACAATGCCAGATTTTTCTTCTTTTTTTCTTTATTCATTACACATACTATGACTGTTTTTTTTTCTTTATTAGTTACATGAACAATGACAGACTTTTTCTTTATTAATTATGCAAATAATGACTGACTTTTTTTTTGATGGCATATTATGATGCATAGAATAACTGTGTCTTTTTGACTACATAATATATATGAGAGTGTGCCCAATTATTAGGATGTGACAAATAATAATTATTAATTAATTTACATAAATTTAATTAAGTAATTTTTATTTGTCATGTTCCTATGATTGGTCACATCCTTATAGCACAAATTGAAGAGGCCACCAATGATAAACTTAATCTGATATTATTATATGCTACAATAAATAAGGCAAGGCAATAACAAAGTGGCACAAATTTGATGTGACTAGAGTGCTCACACTATATAATTACAAATTCTATATAATCATAAATTTGAAAAAATTAATTAATAAACTTATAAAAAATACTTTTATATAAGCATATCATAATAGAATTTTTATATGTAATAACATTTTTTACATAGAGCAAACTGAGTAATTTTTGAGAAGTATGATTGTATTTGTAAATGTTATTAGTAAATTTAGAGAATTGTTAATGCTACCCTTCACTTTTGTTTATGTTATCCTTTATATAAATCTAACTAGTCTAAAATTCTACAGACAGTATTTAGAAACAATACAAATCATGTGATTAATTAGTCAGCAGTTAAGATATGGAAGTATTAAAGGCCAATCAGAGTTATGTAGAAGATGACATTAACAAGTCTCCAAATTTAAATTAGGATATGTAACTTAATAGCAACTTATTATAAATTTTATAATATAATAAATCATTAAATTTAAAATATATAGCAATTTAAATTGATTTTAATTCAATACTATTGTAATAAATTTAATAAATGTATAATTAATTTAAGCAGTAATAGTTAAAGTAAGTTATATATTTATAATAAATTGTCAAACTATTTAAATATAAATTTTAGGACTTAATTAGGCATCACAACTCCACAATATGCTTATACATCACATATTAATGATTGGCCAATTAAATTTATATCAGATATAATATAGCATGATCAGAAAACATTTGTTTTGACAAAAGTCACTTATAACTCAAATTTTCACATATGAAACTATCTTTTGTACTCTAACAAAAAAAAAATTCCTTGAAAATTTTTACTATAAATTCTTTTAGTTTATTGCATCTAATCCTACATAACTCTAACTAAACAAAAAACTATAATTTGTAAATATGTGATGTATAAGCACATCGCAGTATGCAATGTATACATTTATCCTTATTATTAAATATTAATTCTATTATTAATTTTTAATTTTAATGAACTTTGAAATATTTTTAAATTATTTTGAAATATTTCAAAATATTTTGCAATCTTCAAATAATTTCTAAATTTATTTTACTCTATTTTGCACTTCACTAATTTAGATAATTTTTTTGCTATATTTAAAATTTTTTGTACTGCACAAAAATTTTGAAAATTTTTTTGCAATATTTTAAGTTTTTTTATAGTGCAATAATTTTGAAATTTATTTTACAATATTTCAAAATATTTTGTATTTTGCAAATATTTTGAAATTTTTTTTACAATATTTTAAAATTTTTGCACTATGCAAAATCTTTCAAAATATTTCACATCTATAATTTACTAATGTTGTTTTTATTTTTTATAATATTTCTTCTTAGAACTTCTATTATTTTTTAACTAATATTTTCTTTTAGTTTTTGTTGTTTAATAATTTTTATCTTTAGCTCTTTTATTATTATAAGACCTTTAAGCTTTTACTCTTTATTTTCTAGTCTGTTTTTCTCTGTTTTGTCAGTTATTTGGTCTATTGCTATCTTAATTTGGTTGCTGCTCTTTCTTATTAATGCATCTAAAATCATATTAATGTTTCTGCTTATTCTTATCTATTGCTAGCAGCTATTCTTTGTCTGTTCTTCTTTTTTTATACAACCTTTACATTTATTAATTTTAGATGCTAATTTATTTTCTTTACTCTACATTTGTTAGTGTTCAATTAATACTTTTTTTTTTCTTTTTAATTACCTTTCCTAATTATCTATGATTTTATATACTATATACTACTTATTCTTTTTTTCTTCTATCCTATAATATATGTTTTTATTTAACTTGCATTGCTTAAGTATTTTGTCTACTTGTTTTAAACATCTTTGTACTTCTTTACTTTCTAAACTACTGAGCATCTTTGATTCGATTTTTTTGAACCATTCTGCTTTTTTTCCTTTACTCAAATGGTCTTAATAGTTTTTTAGTTGCTGCCATGTAATCAACTTTTTTTCTCTTATATTAAACAGCTAGTTTAGATATATTAGACTTGCTTTATTTATTCTAACTACTTCTTTTTTCTATAATTGTGCATTTGCAAGCTCTTATATTTTAGTATTATATCCAAATATTGTTTATAGTTTACTTTCAGTTTTATATTTATTTTTAATTTCTTTGCTTTGAGTATTATAAGACATACTAAGTTATTCTTCAATCATATTTTAATTCTGGTTTTTCTTCTGTCTTCTATATGTTTTTTACTAAATTTGCTCTTTGACAGTCTTGTATTATTCTCAGTTTTGTTAGTTGTTTAAGACTGTCTTTCTGTTTAGCTTTGCTAAAAGTTTATCTACTTGCTTCATAGTTAATTTTTGTTACAATGTTCTACAGCTGCTAAAATCTTTATATTTTATTATACAGTTTTTTACTATTCTTTGCAAATTGCTTTTTTTTTTTTTTTTTTTTTTTTCGGTATTAAGGTGACCTCTTTGGTCTGAGCTTTTTATTAATACTTATATCAGGTACATGTTTTATA